CAAATCTAATCACTCTCGCTGTACTTTGATGTCATACACAGAACGGTCTGTGCAGTGCTGCTTCAGTCAAACACCTTTTGTGTTTTATTAGGAGACACACAACAGTTCTTCTGTGGCTTTATATAGGTAATATTTTCACTTACACAATTTAGCAAAATCAGACAATATTGTGTCTAATATAAACCACAATATTAACTTCTTATTATTGAATTGTTGTAAATAAATATCACATTTGGAACTGGTCAGTGCTCAAAAAATGCTGGGAAATCATTTCATGTAGCCCCAAGAGTGATTACTGATAAACTGTCTGAAAAAAAGACCGTTTTTAGAGAAGAAAAAAATCACCCACTGACTTTCAGAGCTGCTAACGACTTTCTACTTCGAGGATCTTGATAGAAATGTAGTGGAGTGAAAAGTACAATATTTGTCTTTCAAATGTTGTAAAGTTAAAGTCATAAGTTTTCAGAAAAAATAATACTCAAGTAAAGTACAGATACTCAAAAAGTGTACTTAAGTACAATACTCAAGTAAATGTACTTAGTTACTGTCCGCCTCTGCCAATAACACGCATACACAAACACTTGAATAATCAGCCACATTATAACATAAAAGGACACCGATTAGATGAAAAACAAAATACTGGCTGAAAGCTTCACCCAATGGCTGTCACTGAGTAGCACTAAGCAATGCTGCCGGACAAAGAGAATCAGGCGGAAAACAAAAGGTACTAAGAGTAATTTGAAGTGAGTAAAAGCAGATAAAGAGAGACAGCGGGACAGAGAGAGATGAGTCATATGATAAATACGGCTGCTTCAGTCCTCATCTAGAACACAAATATCACATCAAACTCATTTGCCTGTGAAACACTCACACAAATTCAAGGCCACAGTGAGCCCATCGCTGAGGAGATCAGAATTCTGTCAACACAGAGAGAATGATACACCGCGTCTCAAGAAAGCACTAGCCGATTTGACCAACTTTTTACAAAATCACAGCCAACATATGCATGTGATGTTAAATATACAGCTATGAGGGACCAATCAGATTATTGAGGGCGGGGCTACCGAGCAAAACGTAACCCAAGAATGAAAATTTGGCTCCAGTCCATTAGTTAACATCTTGTGAAGTGAAAAGCCGTGTGTTTATAAGAAACAAATCCATAATTAAAATAAAAGTCCTCTATTCATAATAATGCTTTCTCCAGTGAAAATGTCGTCTTGTCTCAATCAGGAGAGAAATATGCACAGATCAAGCACTGTTTACAAGCAAAAACAGTCCAAAACAAAAATGTTGGTGGATTTTGTGAGAGGACAACATGGAATGTTTTTTTTCACTGGAGGAAGCGTTATCATGGACTTGAAGAGACAGTTTAAAGTGTTGATGGATTTTATATCTTACAAACATGCAGCTTTTCACTTCACAAGATGTTAACTGAGTTTGGACTCTCATTCTGATGGCACCCATTCACTGCAGGAGATCCACTGGTGAACAAGTGATGTAATGCTAAATTTCTCCAAATTTGCTGCAATGAAGAAACAAACATCTTGTATCTACTCAAGCTACAGGCTACTCATAATCTACAGTAACTTTCTCACCACTGGTAGTAACCTCAAAACACTCATACCTAATAACCTTTTAAATCAAGAGACAGAGAGTGAGAGCTATTCTCTTGCTGGAGGATATTGGGGGGTTGTGGGGTCACTCAGGGGCCAGGCGTGCTGTGCTTGAACTGGGTTGCTCTCTAAATTTAGTCTGCAGTTTTTCCACAAGACTCTGGCTGTCCACACCTGACACGCAGCAATAAAGCCGAGCTGTCACTGAAATATTGATTTTATAAATTGATATTTTAGCTACCATGCAAAGTCGTAAAAAAAGAACAAAGATGTGTGTGTGTGTGTGTGTGTGTGTGTGTGTGTACTCACAGCCCTCGTAGATATCAGTAGGAATGTGCACTGCTGTTGTGTTGTATGAAACAGGGCGTTTGAAAACTGGATCCTCTTTGAATTCTACTTTGACACGGTTCTGGTGCGTTTCCGTGTCATTAATGTCAAACTAGGAACATAAAAATAAGCATAAATCTCTCAAACAACAAAAAAGCAACTCGTTAATTTACATATCTTTGTTGTTTAGTTCATATGCAAGCATGTATTTTTAAAATGAAACCTTACCTTGTCCTTGGCATTGTAGTAGATAGTCTCATTCACCTGTTTGACAGAGTGACAGAACAAGAATTGTGTTTTTATTTATCTTTATCAAAAGTTTGAATATTCATATAGTTTGGTTTCAATATGTTTTTATTTATACATTTTTTAGTGGGGCATTCTATTAATGTTCTTTTTATTATTATTATTATTATTAGGCCTATTATAAACATTCCCAAAAGGTTGCAGGGTAGGTTTGTGCAACCATCTAATAAAAACATATACAGAGAACCTGTTTTATATTGGTCATTTTTTGGTTTTATATTTCATAATCACCCATTTCCAGCATTCTAATATATATATATTTATTTATTTATTTATTTTTAGGTTTTGACACAACATTTTTGTTTAGGATTTAAATGTCAAGGATTGTATAGGCGTTATATAGAGAGGATTTTATAGGCGTTATATAGTTGTAAGTGTTTCTATGTTAATTTGTGATATTTTGTATATTTTAGCATGTAGACATATATAGGATTCTCTGAAGTCAAATTTATTTTAGCAATAATTTTCTGCAGGCTGGATTTAAATATTATTTTAAAATTATTATTATTAGTAGTAGTAGTAGTAGTAGTAGTAGTAGCGTTTAGGAAATTATTATTATTTAAGAAATTAATTAAAGTATATGAGAATTTACTTGAATCAACATACCATTCCATCCTATATTTTATAAGTCATCAATCTGTTGCAATTTATTTAATTTTTAGTCAAAGTGGCCATCTCTAAGAGTATATTGAAATAGAATGTGACTTTTAGCTCTCTGTGTATTTTTACAGAGTTTTGTACCTAATCTTTGTGCATTCACAAAAGGAAGTTGTTAAATTTTGTACTGTTGTTTTAGGTGTGTGTGTGTGTTTGTGTGTCTTCTCTCAGGGTTGTTCTCCTCACAGTGTGAGGGCGCTGTCAGGACTAGCATTAGTGAGACGTTAACAAGCAAGCTCACTATCTGACATACAGTTGCCTTGGAGACATAGGAGTGGATCATCACCGGCTGCCGCCACCTGTCCTACTTACTTGCTAATCATGTGGCAGACACTCTTTACTGAGACATGCGCATACAGGTCAGCCCTGCATGGGATCAAACTCTTGAATTCGCAGATTGTGTCTTTACCACGATTCTACCTGCATCCCATCAATAATTAAAAAGAAAACCTCTCTGTCTGTCACCGGTAGCACATAACAAACGCTTGAAGAGAAGCATTCACAATACACACTATGAGCAGGAGTGTGACATCTTAACTATGAAAAATGCAATCATGGTAATACCTTTTTTTTAACCGTGTAAATTAGAACGGTCCAATAACAATTTTCATATTATGGTGGATATTAAAATTCAATGTTATTTTGTGGAACATTAAAAAGTAAAAAAAAATAGTTTTGAATGCTACATAGTATCCATATACTATCATAGCATTTATTAATATCTCAAATTAGCTTTTTACATTTTTATAATTTCAGCTTTCATTTGAGCAATTCTGTTATGTGCTTTTGTCATTTTGATTATTATTATTTTTTAGATATTTCTATGTTGCTTTAAATTATTTTTATTGCCGTTTTAGTTTTAGTAATTGTAGTACTTCAAACTTAATTCAGTTATTTGCCAAGCAACATTTGTAATTTTTTATTCAACATTTTTTAATTTAACCTTTTTAACTTTTTTTGTTGTTTTTTTAGTTTTTCATCTAATATTTAACTTATTTTAGCTTTATTTCACTTACTGAACATTAATTTAATAACAACAATGATCCCAACATTATAATGTACAGAATAAAAAAAATATATTCATTTAGATATTTGCTAAAAATTACATTTAACTTTAAGTGAACATTAGATGATGGCAAAGGTGATCTGTGGCAAATCACCTCTGGTTGTGATAATGTTAATCTCTCTATATCACTCTAATAATCAGATTAAGTTTGTTTGTTAAAAGCATTTTTAATAGTGAATCTCCAACCAGTCTGATTCAGAAATGAAATATTGCTGCAATACAAATTTTGATGACTCATTCGGACAATACTTGACTGACAAATCTATAACAGACAAGCAGACATCACATTAATTTCTCTGCAAATTAGAATTGATATTTCAGACCATGGGAACCTAAAATGCATCATTACAACATCGCAAGGTCTGAGACCAGGATGCCAACATTTTCTAACCCAACTGATTATCTCACCACCTAACTAAGGCAATGACATGTCTAAATGTGTCCAGTAACTATTCGTATCCAATGATGGACTGACTGAAAACATGCCCAGGTAAAACTTTCACAGCCTCATTTCTTCCACATGTTTCGGAGTGTTTACAAAATGTGAATGTGTGAAGCATTACATCAAGATCATCCTTCCACTGGTGCTCCTTCTGCAGGTTCTCTGCAGCCATCACCAGCGCCTACAACACAAGGAACGAGATGAAAGTGTTAAAGAAATGCATACATATATGCCCAAACATACACTACTTTTTTTAAAGAAATTAATTTTATTCATCAACGATGCATTAAATTGATCAAAAGTGACAGTAAAGACATTTATAATGTTATAAAATTCTATTTGAAATAAATGCTGTTCTTTTTTAGCTTTCTATTCATCAAAAAATCCTGGGGGGAAAAAAATAGAAAAAACAACTTTTTTCAACAATGATAATAATAACAAATGCTTCAGCAGCCAATCACATATTAGAATGATTTCTGAAGTATCATGTGACACTGAAGACTGGAGTAATGGCTGCTGAAAATTCAGCTTTGCATCAGAAATAAGTTACATTTGAAAATATATTCAAATAGAAAAAAGTTATTTAAAATATTAAACATATTTCTCAATATTACTGTCTGTATATGCCTTTTTGAGCATATAAAAACAATGAAAAATCTTGCTGACCCCAAACTTTTGGTATAGAGTATATTGTACCGTATATAAATCACCATTTAAAACCATCTTAAATTGATTTTCTCAAATTTAATAAAAGAGCCTCAGAACCAAACGTTAACATCCAGACACTTTATAACACCAAATAAATGCATTAACATGACAGAGTTCCAATATAATTGGCTAATTTATTTATCATTCAGTCAACGATTGGTTTTAATGAGGGAAAATGAAGCTCAGCTTTAAACCTCATATCAAACTGAGTGAGAAGACACATTTTTCTCAGACTGACCTGCATTCAGCCTTTACTCCAGATTCTCTGCCTATGAGAAAACCCCTCATGATGGCACACTAAATTTAGACAGCAGCTCAGGTCCGGTCCTGGTCTCCGCAACTGATTAGGTTAATAACAGTATAATGGCAGCATTTTTTAAATCTGCTCTGTATTAGAAACTCACTGTATGCCTAATTTCCCCTGGGAACTTTTACATCCCATTCTTGTAACTGGTCCCGGAGCCTTTTTCTTTATGTATCTTTATTTTATATATTTTTTTTTTATTATTTATTATTATTATTAAAATTTTTTTTTAGTTTTTTTTTTGTTTTTATTGGCCTTGAAATGAGATTGAAGATTAGGAGTTCATGAAGTCAAATTAATCTTGATAACCAGGGGACGAAAAAGCAAATTAAGAAATTCTGATTTGATGCTTGCTACCACAGATCACACTATGAGGTGGAGAAACTTTGATCAAATAAACGGTGGTTGGTTTCTCATTTTGTGGAGGTTTATAATAAAGGCTGAAGCTCCACTATTATATATTTAAATTTACACAACCCAACTCAAAATGTCAGCGTTTAAAGAAAACCTCAAGTTTTCCCTTTGCTAATTACAATTTGCTATTGTTGTGCCATTCATTTGACCTTCGTAAGATCTTTCTGACATGACTTGAAGGCAGCAATAAAACTCTTCCATTGAGGAGAAGAACATCAGCTTGATATCACCGCTGCCAGAATAAATAATATCAGAAGAGCATAAATGCCACTAAAGCTAATTAAAGCCAACATAAGCACATCTTCACAATCGTGAAACGGCTTTGAAGGCTTTTTATGCTGTAGGGACAAAACATATTGAAATTTCAGAGTTTTGTGATGTTAATCCACACAAAAGATCTACCGGAGTATCCCCATTATAATAAGACTAAAAATACAGATTTTTTTTTTTAATTACTCGATCCTTCAGGGGAAATGAACAAGTGTAACGCATGGCTAGATGATGAAAGCTCTCCTCCCACTTCAGACATCCCATAATAACCCATTGACCCCAGGGTTTACTCACTCTGATGAGCTGTTGCCATAACAACCCCAGTGGTGTGGTCTCAGTCGCATTAGGACTGGGCTGTGTGTTTGTCTTAGTGCCGGCCCCTACTGGCACACAATCCAGGGAGGACATCTCAATCTGCATGGCAATAGTCTTGATTTTCAGAGCACAGACCCTGCATCATTCAAACATGTCTCATCTCAGACTGACCAGTGTCATCACTAAAATTCACAGGGTCTGCAACAATGCTTCTGTGGATGGACCCCTCTTACCTGTGAGAAGGGTGATACTAAAGAGCTGTAAGGGCCCATCAGGAGGCTTCAGCAAACATATAAGGGGAATAAATTATTATAAATAGTTTTAAATTTAAATGACATTTTTACATTTAACATTTTTTATTAATTGATTGACTTATTAATTGACTGATTCATTCATTCATTCATTTAGCTCTGTTTCTTCCTTCAACTCTCTGGGCTATACAGTGTCTCTCTATTGGATTATTTGAATTTTTATTTTAGAATAAAACTAAACCTATCTAAACCTAAACTTAATATATTAGGTTATTTTTTTCTGTTAGATGTTTCTGATTCATTCTCTTTTTGTTCAAATTGATTGATTGATTGATTCATTAATTCCATTTAATTTTTTCTTCTCTCTTGGTTATCTATAGGGACAAGGTGTCTCTCTTTTGGACTATTTTAAGTATTAGTTTTAATAAAACCTAGTATGTTTGGATTTTTTTTCTTTTGGATTGTTTTGTAATGAACTAAACATTAATTTATTTATATTTAAAAGTATTTATATACATTTAATAAATATTTAAATCTAACTTCAATGAAAACATTTATTTTTTTTTTATTAAAAAAGTCAAATGTAACCTGACATCATATTTCTTATTTAAATTTCTCCCATTAACAATTATTTGTATTGAACAACATACAGTTAAACCTATGTGATTATGTTTCTGTCAATTAAAAAGCTTGAAACAAGGAACTTTCATCATCACAGCACACTGAAAACAGTAAGATGTCCCTCTGACATATATGTGCATATAATCCATCTCCCAGTCCCAATTTATCAGTCCAGTACATAATTAGACTGTCTTCTCACTGTTTTTGGAACCAAAAATGATGTCACTTGCCCCATTATTATTTACAGTAATTCTCCTAAGCACAGTGTAAGGTTAAAGGTCAGACCTGTATCAGCCACAATGAGGCTAATAACACAATAAGGCAAAATCCAAGATGACTGTCCTGCTAATGCATACAGAGAAGAACAAGAGATAAAATCTTTAACAGCACTTTTTCAGCACCGCACAAATGTCTCCGGTTACACATATAACCACGGTTTCATGCGTGACCTGAGACGTTCCCTTTCGAATGGGAACCCTACGCTGCGTCCCCTAGAGGGCGCTATGTTGAACAATATACCCACGCCACCATGCTGGGGATGAGTGCCTTATTGGCTGAACTCAAAGACTCAGCGGAGTCCTTACCCCTGCACCAGCAACGCGACCATAGACCAGAGCTTCTCAAAAATGGAGGCCTCAACAGGAGATAGGTAGCCTAACTACATTCTTATTGAGGCCAGCATCCAAGAAGGCTCACAGAGAGCCTAACATTCAGAGCCAACTGGCCCGCGAAGCTGTGCAGAGTGGAGGCCTAAATACAACACCTCTCAAATGAGAGGTGGCCTAGCAACACTCCATACTACCTAGCCAATACCTAGCCGAGCTCTAGGAGCGGAGGCCTCAGCATGACGACACTCTAAAACGAGAGGAGGCCTAACTATGCCCCATGCTCAGGACATCTTGTAAGGAGGCTCACAGAGAGCCTACAACTCACAGATGATGTCCTAGCGGAGCTCTGGCGAGCGGAGGCCTCAATGAAATAACTCTCTGTAGTGAGAGGAGACGCTCGCAGTAGAAGGCCGAACTCTAGGTGTGGAGGCCTCTGCATGACGACTCTCGAAAATGAGAGATGTCCACCAGGTTTACCCAAGAAGCCAAATCTGTAGTACGACGCAGCTCTTCCACTGTCTCCGGGGGGAGTCCTTGGCCCTGGTGCAGGTCCTTCAGCAGGTCAGCCTAGCAGGCTTGCAGCACAGCCATCATGTGCAAAGCCGCTCCAGCCTGACCCGATGCCGCATATGCTCTGCAATTCAGCCGTGATGTAACAAAGTGGCGTGGTCAGCTGAGACGGCTTCTGCAATGTGGATGCCTCACCAACTGAGAGACAGCTAGCCAGCGTCTCTTCAATCGGAGGTATCGACACATAACCATACTCCTGCATCCGCACCACATCAGCATAGTTTGCCTGTGAATAATGAATGTGAGCTGAATATGGCTTTCCCCAAGATCTCCGCACCTCAGTGTGAACATCTGGGAGAAAGGGAAGACTCGTACAAGCTGTACAAGCCTGTTATGTCCCTACAAAAAGCGTCCATCGAGGCAACCCCGAGAGGGCTCGCGCTTCTTGTGCTTCTCGTGCTTCTCGTGCTTCCACGGCAGATCTAATCTTTCCACTGTTCCAGAGCTCAGGAACATGGTCGATCTCAGCTCACTCTCGCCTGCCGCCAACGAATGAGAAATATTCATACCTTTCTCAAAGTTGTTGGCAAGCTCCACCTGCGAACCCCACAATTGCAGTCTCCTACTCGCCTCAGCTGCAGTGGGTCCTGAACTGCGAGGTACAGATGGCTGTCCCGATTCCCTCGAGAAAAAGGACAAACGAGAGCAAATCTTTCTCATAGAAAATCACTTGCAATGCACGCAAACAGCCCCCTCAAGGACTGAGCGTGCATGCTCCTCACCCAGGCACATAACGCACATAATATGTGTCATCAGGTGTCAATAAACGCTGACACATATGAACACAGTGCTAGTGCTTGCCATAGTTTTCCTATTTAGACACACATACTGCAACAAACGGTCTCCTGAAGACAAGAAACAAGGATGATGTATTTTACAAGTGCCTTTTTATACTCTCGGCCACACCAGTTGTGACGTCATAGGCTGCCGCCTACCAATGTCAAGTTCATTGTCGTGTTTAGGCTCATGATTCAGACACTGGTCATGCCGGAGGCATTCTCCATAGTGCCATCTAGGGTACGCAGTATAGAGTTCCCATTCGAAGGGGAACTCACATTATGCATCAGTAGCTAATTAGTCAGTCTTGTTCAGCAGCTCTCAGGTACAAACACCTGATGTG